ATAGAGAACAGAGAAAGAGGAGATTTTCATTACCACCTCCTAAAGGGAGCAGAGCAGTGCACTAAGGCATGTGTAGGAAGCTATTCATTAGATTTTACAGCAGTTAGAAACTGGAGGTACGCTGGACACGCATCCATATGGAGCTGATTAAGATATGGTCCCCACACATCAAGAGGCCTATATAGACATCCCAGGGAATGATGTAAACCTACGTGTTGGTAGGAAAAGAAGTTCATGAGCAAAGGATGTTCCAAATACACACGACAGTCCATGGTGGCATCTGGTGTCACAGAGCGACCACGTGGAATTACTGCGGCAGGCACACTTACTGCAAGGTGAGAACGTGATCAGGCAAATCAGCGGGAACATTTCAACAATCCAGTCAGCGCCATCTTTTTCCGAGCTGTGCTGCGTGCCTTGCCGCATCGCAGTTCCCCACCCGGGGACTGAACCCAGGCAGAGAAAGTGCCATGTCCTAACCACTGGACGCCAGGGAACTCTGCACTGCCTTTTGTAGACAAAGATCTGACGTCTGTTTCAAGGACAAAGCCTCGTAAGAAAACTGTAATTAATTTAACACATCTCGATTTTTAACTTTAACCAGAAGAACATTAACGAGGATGTACAGACTCAAAAATGTTTTCTTGTTTAAAGTTTTCAACATAGCCTACATTGTTCCAAAGTCCTCATCACAATTTTAAGACACTACGCCTTTAAGCAACCCCAGTAGCTGAGACACTTCCGTAAGGATCAGCGAGGACGCATTTAGAAAAGCCCAGGTGGACCAGATAAACGCTGAGTGGCTTTCATGGGGGTGGTCGCAGCTGTTCCTACAGTGACCATGGCTAACAGTTTAAGGCTCACCTTAGTTCCTTATAGGCTCTGCTACAACTAACTGTGACTCATCCTACAAATGTCAAGCCATCATGAGAGAACATTTAAATAAATCATTAAAAATAAGTTAGTACTTAAGAGCACCTAATGTTTCAGGCCCTGCGCTTCGGCAGTGGCCTGCTCAGAGGCCCGTGCACAAGGGACGCGCATGCAGGAGAGAAGCCACCCAGGTTCCGCTACACAGCGCGTGGTGGGGCGCCCGCTTTCTGACTGGTGCAGCAGCTAACTATGGCTGCCGCTACCTAACCATTTTCACAACCACGGGTCCTGCCAGTCTCACACGTGGGGAAGCAATGCGGAATGGTGAGGAAACCGCAGCTCTGCTCAGCTCACAGTGGGGGCTCTCCCAGGTCCGGGCCTGTGCTTGCCCAGCACCAGCGGCTCTGCCGAAAGCCCCCCAAAGGTGGAGCTCACTGGGCCGCGGGAAACCCGCAGGGCTGAGAGCTGCGACGGGCACAGCAGAACCACCATTTTTAAGAAATTCTCCCAAACTGTTCTCTTCCTTCCAAGGTGATCAAGTCACATTCTTAAAGCCCTGACGTCTCACTCATGGTTCCTATCTGGTTCACTGTCCTCACTAAGCACCATACAAACAGGTAACAATTTTAAACAAGTCCCTCTGTCTCAGAGGCTCTGATCTTACAAGGCTCCGTCACCTAGGACAGGGGCTCCCCTATGGAAACAGGGGCCTTCCATCGGCTGTAATCGGTCAATAAAGGCTATCTGGGAAGCAATGCTTACAAACTGGTGAAGCATAAGGACTCAGGAGCTCGCTGGCCCAGGGTTCAAATCCTGTCTTCTGTGGGTCCTTGGGTGGGTTACTTAACGTCTCTGTGCTTTAGCTTCCTCATCAGCAAAGCGGGAATACTAACAGTACCTCCTTCCCAGGACTGTCATAAGGATTAAATGAGCTGTTGTTGTGACTCCATGGACTGCAGGCTTCCCTGTCCTTCACTATCTCCAGGAGCTTGCTCAAGCTCATGTCCACTGAGTCAGTGACACCATCCAACCACCTCTTCCCCTGCTGCCCCTTCTCCTCCTGCCCTCAGTCTTTCCCGGCATCAGGGTCTTTTGCAATGAGTAGGCTGTTTGTATTAGGTGGTCAAATATTTAAATAAACACACATATAAAATGCTTAGAACAATACTTGCCATAGTGAAGCACTACTTAAGTGCCTGTTGCTATTATTGCTGTTGTTATTACTGATTTAAAGCAGTAAGTCTCTTTGCAAGCTATATACAATAAAATTGGTCTCATCTTAAAATCACATCTGAGATACCTACTTACACTATCTGCATACTCTAGACACAGAACTAAGTTGGCTTGAGTTTCTAAGGCCATGCCGCTCTTCCGCACCTGAGACAAGAAGGCAGACAGTGTTCAAATGCTTGACTCAACACACCGGTGTTGGAAAATTCTGAACCAACCGACTGGAGTCACTAGGAGATCAAAACGCTTGGAGCAGGCAGAGGAGAGGCGGCAGTGATAGCGGACCTGCGCTCACAGCCAGGGCTACACCTCGCCGGCTGTGTCCCCAGCACACATCCTCACCCTCCCGTGCCTGGGCCCGAGCTCTGGGGCGGAGGTGAGCATCTCCCCACCGCCCAGGTCTCAGGCTGCCGACAGCAAGGACAGACGCTGCGCCGACCTCCTGACGTCACCTCCCTGACTTAGAGGCCTCATGAGATGCCTCGGTGAGGCAAAAAAAGAGCAAAGTGGATTGCTGCTGAGATGAAATAGAGGCAGGAGGGGAGACTGCAGGTGAGGCCAGGGAGGGACAGGCCCGGCACTGGTGGTTAGCCCCTGTCATCTCACCCTCACTGCTGAGCCGACACAGGAGAACTGCAGGTTCAGGAGGCCACGAGTCAGCATGCTGGCTCCAGGGGCACCCCAGTCCTGACGCTCGGCGTCCCAGTCTGTAGGCAGGCCGTTCTTTCAGAAACTGATACAGCTTTCTCCCTCAGATTTACAACCGATGAGCGGACGCCAGCCTCCCCGCATTCAAGACGCCGTGGCCCTTCAGTGTCTCTGGTCCTCAGAGAAGACGCACAGCAGCTGTCTCTGCCCAGCTCCCGTGACCCTGCTCGTGAGAACCAGGCTTCTTCACGCGCCGGGAAAAGCACACACCGAAGTCACACCCACAGTGGCTGGGCGGTCTGAAGTGCCTACCTGACGACACCTGAACTTGAAAAAAACTTTCCTAATTGAGTTACAAAGAACTGGAAGCTAAGTAACTTCTCTTGAAAATGAGCTCCCAGCACTACTCCTTCAACACATATGGATCACTTCGTTTTGAAATTTTTAATCCACGTTTTAGAGCCAGCAATTTCTACTGACTTTAATTACATTCTTTGCAGTGCAACAAGTAATTTTCATACTCAATCTTTTTGTTTCAGTGGTATCTGCGATAATGGATTTTACGTGAACAATATTCAAAAGCCAAAACAATTCTTTGTATTCATCATTCTTTCAGCCAGGAAACGACTTGGTGGTTTGCATCTAATTAAAAAAAAACAAAACAAAAAGAACCCCAAAACAAAACAGGACAGAAAATGACAGCAGGCGTCACACACAGTAAAAGCAGGTACTGTTTTCTTAGATTTTTGTTTGTATGTATAGAAGTGTGTGTGTGTATGCGTTACACTGTCAACTGGATTTCTCACTGTGGTCAGAAGCCTGAAAGTCACTGCCGGAGAGGCTTCTGTCAGTCAATGAACCAGATGCGAAGGGCATTTGCCTTCCAAGACTTTGGATTAAGCTGCCCAGACCACAGTCAGGTATGTGGCTCAGTCCTTCAGTGAAAGAAATTAGAGAAACTGTATCTAAGTAAGTCAAATAAATAACATAACGTATATGATTTCAATCATTTTAGGTTGCAGAAACTGACCTACCAAGAACTGCCCAACAAGAAGGACAGGAAACACCCACTTCCTCCTCAGCTCACCATTCCACCAGAACAATCACTGCCCTTTGTAAGGCTGGAATGAACGTAACCTGTACACTTAAGTTTTAGCCATGAGGGTATTTAAGATAAAAAAACAAAAACACATTTGAGTACTTGTAAACCAAAATATAAAATCAATTTTTGTAAAACTTTAATTTCTGAGACATTTAGAGTCACACTAAAAGTAATCTCATAGAAACAAACAAGACTGACAATTTGTAAACAAAACACTCTGTAAACAAAAATCATTTGCCAGTGCATCCAAACACTATTTTCAAAGTAACATCATACCAGTTTTTAAAAGTGTGAATAGTACTGCATGTACCCTCATCGCAAGCACTGCCTTTATACGCTAAGTACACTAAACTGTGCTAACAACACAGAGAGCCACCACGGAGCATGACATAAGCCCATGTTGTCGGCAAACACGGTGACGCTGGGGCCACAGGGGGTCACCTGTGCCCCCAGCAAAGCCGGGCAGGAGCCACCACCCCAGGTCAGGGGTGTCTGCACCTCGGACGCACCCAAGTGACAACCACCAGTGAGGTTTCCTTCTCCTCCACGGCCCACCCCTCAGCATGGCACAGATGGTGCTAACGTGTGTGCGCACAGTCTTCACATCAAGTCACACATTTACAGCAGTTTCATTTTCATAGAGAATGTACACAAAGCTAAATAAATTTTAAATCTGAGAAATACCTTGGAAAATCAGCAAAGATCATTACAAACGTTGTATGTGTAAAATGTATAACCAACATATTCAAATACCACAGAAGCAATGAATGAAAGAACGGCAGTGCCCACTGCCCCTTTACATTGGTTCCCAAAAGTGAGAAAACACGAGAGGAGTGTTGAGTGAACCTGTCAGTGACGTACCCCGCCCGCTCAGGAGCAGGGCAGTCTGGGTGTCTGACTGCGGCATGGGGCCCTCCGGCCTGAGAACTTGTGGGCGCCCCTCCCACAGCGCTCCTGGCTGTGGGCCCGGGATCCATGTGCTGCCCCCCACCCAGCCCCACCACAGGGCCACACACCAGCCTCCAGCGTGTGTCCGAGAGAAGTGCCTGCCATTAGAGTGAGCGTCTCACTCAGGATCGAGGTTGTCGATGTGACCGGGAATACACGGGGTATCTGTAGTCTCAACTGATTGTCATTACGTGCAGACTGAGGATGTAACAACCTGTATTTGCTCACACAGAACACGTCTGAGACCCAAGGTTTACAACCATCCCTCTATTCCACACAGCAATGACGAAGCATCCAATGAAAGCTTAAAAAATCCATTATACATTTCACTCCTTACTGATCCAAACCTGGCCTAAGTCCTCTGATGGAAAGAAATTTTCAGATGAGCAGAGTTGATACAGACGTTGAAAAGTTTAATACTTTACTTAAAAATTTTCAGACATCTTACAAATACCCAGAAGCTCTTCTGGATGTGTGCCCTGAAATTGGTGTAAGTTAAAAATGATATTCTTTTATTTAAAGGAACTTTTTTCTCTTCTCCCCTTGACCTGGTCTGCTCAAAGCAAGCAAGTTTCAGTAAAAATCAAAACCTCCAACTAATGCTTAAATAGGTATAATTACAAGTAAAATTGAAGAGCAGCCATTTTTAATAAATTTTCTCAGTATGTGGATCTTATGCTGAGAAAGTCACCCATACTAGGCTGCTTATATTTACTGAGGGTCATTTAGAATCACAAAATGTTCTTTTGTTTTAAACCTAAGCTGCATTTGAACAAGAGAAACTCAAAAGGAAATGCAGAGGTATAAATAAAGAAGTATACACATAGAGCTGAGATTACTTTTTCTTATAATTTTGGTTCTTAGTGGAAATGTTTTATGTCAAATATATACAGCCTATTTTTCATAAATTTCTCTCCCCAAAACCTTTAAATTCAACAGTTTGAGAAAACTATTCTTTTACTTTTGTCTGAACACAGACACTACTGCCATACACACAGTGCATGTGGATACACGTATTTAGAGGCCTCACGATATGAACTGTGTGTGATGGACCCACCTCCTACTTCTGCATGCACAATTTCTGATGCTCTAACCTAGCAGAGGGTGACACAGAGTATCATGGTATAGTTTTTACTCAGAGGACTTGAAGTCAAGAACCTGTCCCCATAATTATTTACAATTTAATAACTGAATGAGCGTGAGGTCATGATACACTGCAGAACTGTCCTGACACCACGAATGCTGGCTGATGCCGTGTGTTCTGGTGTTAAATGATCACTTTTGTAAGTCTGAGGTTTAACTTGGCATGTGCAGAAGTGACCGAAGGTGAAAGAAGGGGTTTCTACCACAGAGGATTTACGGTTCCATGATGGACACAGAAGCACAGGGAATTACGGGATTTCTGAAAAAATGTTTTAAAAAAACTGAGTATACATACAGCCTATAAGGCAAAATCTAAGTTACAAGTGTGTTCAACACTGGCAACTATGTTGTGAGAGGTAATATTGAATTATTTACACATAAACTGTCAGAAAATATGATGACGTAACACATCCTACCATAGCTTATTACACTGGACAGTAGACGGATTCCTGTGGCATTCTACCAAGGCTCAGGTTTAGAAGAGTTCTGTATTTTTCCCTTAACTCAAATTCCAGTCGATATTCGGTAACCTAAGTCAGAACTATGCTTTGTTTTTTTCTTGAAGGAAGTAGAAAATGCCATTTGCAACCACTGCAGTCTCAATGCAGCCACGGCAGTAACACCTACAAACTTCCATTTTTTTGCAGAAACTGCCCATCTGAGGACTAAGGAAGGATGCCTTTCACGTGGGTGTCTACACTTTGAATGGACTCTATACTGAGATTGTAATGAACCCTTAGAAGCCCCAAAGTGGCCTTTTCTCATGTCCTCACAGCTGCGCAGCTAATGCAAGCCAGCATGGGCCCCAGAAGAGGCACTGCCCAGAGGGGCCTGCGCTTGGCTGGGAACGACAAGGTCCACTCAAAGGCAAACAAAAAGGAGACGACCTGCGACAGCCAAGCCCTCAAACTATGAAGACGGGGACACACACAGTCCCAGGCTGGACACATGGATCACAGTCAGCAGGACGGCCCCGACTGGCAGGAATGTCACGAGTGTGGGCTGCTCGGCTCTTGACTGCAGAGTGGTGCTGGGGTCTCACAGTGCTTTCTGATGCCCATTTGCAGAAGGCTTTGCTGTGTCTGAATCCCTTGGCGTATCTGACAAGTGCAGTTTATGAAGCCCTGCAGAAAGATGAAGAAAACGTAAGAACTAATGCACTGCTGAGAGGCTGGGCACAACATGAAGTGCTCCTGAGGAGACTGCCACGTAGCACACTCCCTGCAGCATGGAAGGGTTCCGTGCCCCACCGGCAGCGCCGAGGGCCTCCACTGAAGACAGCTGCCCAGCGGGAAGTCAGGCCTCCCTTCGTGCAAGAGCCGCCCCTCACCCAGCCTCCCACAGGGCCGGCTCAGCTTCCTCCGCTGAGGGCAGAGCCCCTGCCCTCCACACAGCTCCCGCGCCACCCCACCCCGCCCTCCACCCCGGCCCCAGAAGCAACTTCTAATGAACCTGTTCCTGCAAGCTTATCCCCATCCTCAAGTGCCCTTCTTGGGGAAGGATGAAACAAGGATGATCCCAAAATGGGATGATCCCATTTTTGTTTTAAAATACACTCATACATATACACTCAGGAAAATGCAAGGGGAAACACACTAAGACATTAAGCATGCAAGTAAAGCAACGGAAAATATTACCAAGCAGAAGGAAAGGACAAAAGAACAAATGTAACACAAACAGTGCTTCACTGCAGAGTAAGAGACGATCGATGCCTTCTAAGTTGTGCTCCTTTCCGTCTGTATCACACAGTAATTATCCACCAGTGTACCTGATACACAGCAGTGCTGTGCCTTCATGGGCAGAAGAGTTAGCAGAAATGTTTAAGGGTTTAGCTGGTATTAAAGCTCTGAGCACTTTAACAAAATGAAGCACAAAGATATTCAAGAACACATAAGTAGCACATCCATGGAAAAGATTTTCAGAGAACAACTTTTATAAGGCTCAGATATTTGTAATAATATGCTTGGATAAGATGATTTTCCCCCCTAAAATTTCAGGTAGTTTTCTAGCTAACTTGATATGCAATTTTATACCCCTCACAAACCAACACAACATTCCAAATTTTAAAATTCCTATCACCTGCATATCTTAATGGAAAAAAAGTGAAACTGACCCTGTCTATGATGGATGAATGGGAAGGAAAAAATAAGTCAATCAAAAACGCGCGCGCACACACACACACACACACACACACACACACACACACAGAGTTCTGGTTTCAGGAGTGGCCAAGCCACTCTGTGACAAAAGGCACCTACAGCTCCGGCTGGACACGGACATGAGGATGCGCGCTGACACAGGCCAGCTGCAGGAGGAAGGGGGCAAAGCGCACAGCCACCAGGTGATCAACACCCTTGTGGAAACTAAGCCCCTTCAGGGCCCATTATTCTGATGAGTTACTTCTAAACCCTGAGTGGAGCACAGGTTATCTATTCAGAAAAACTACAGTGTCTCTCTTCTGTAGAAATAATCACTGCCTCCACCATCACGGCAGCTGAATTCCCAGTGGCCGCCATGTGCCAGATGCTCTATGAGAAAGACTCTGTGATTCTCAACCCACAGCAGCAGAGGGAAAAAGCCCTCCTGCACCACCCCCAACACACAAAGAAGAAAAAGAAAGGAGATGGTTAAATTTTATATTTTCTGATCAAATTATAATTCTCAGTGAAATCATATTAAGATTTCAGATCATTCACACAGTATATACACTTAATGAGGATCTTCTTCTAGGTATCAAGCATTGCCTCCTTAGAGCATTCCAAAGAGTAACAGAAAACATTAGGAAAACTGTTTATTAGATGCTCTACATAACTCTTGATAACACCACTGCCTCTTATGGTCAAAGAGCCAATACAATATACACAAGCTTTACCTTAGGTTAAATTATATCTTACTACTTTAATAAAGACTTCTTTAGCAAGATGATATCCAAAACACCCAACTCAAATGCTAAATTAACTGCAATTTATTCACCACCATCTCATTTTAGTGAATGATAAGTAGGAATTTATCTGAGATTATGGGTAACTAACATTGCTGATGCTACAACAGGCTAAAATATGAAATTATAACTCTAAACATCTGGCTAAGAGGACTGTTTGTTTCCCACTTCATCTTTAGATTTTAACCTGACCAGCATTACAGAACCTGGGCATTAAAATCCCCAAAGTGTCTGGGGCTTCAGCTGAAATGAGACGTAACTCTCCCCTTTCTACCCAGTATTTCATCAGCCACTGTCTCCGAGGAAAAATTCACAGTAAAACAGACATGAGTAGATAATCTGAAGTCCTTTTTCCTTCCCAATGGTCATCCTTTCAAGCGTCAGGACTGGACAGCGTGGTGGTGTGTAAAACTTTACTGTGGTCTGCCTAGCAGATACCGCTGTACATGCGAACAGGACCCTAAGGAACCATCGTTACGCTGCATTCTGCAATAGCTAAGAGCCATAAAGGAACACGGAGTATGAACATTCACATGGCGTCAATTCAGGTAAATGAGCCAATGTCAGGACTTTCTAACAATGAATCACTACCTTTTCCCTCTTTTATATAATTGCACACCCTAAACCCAAGAAGGTTTCAAAGCAAGACAGTTTATATTGTCCTGGTATTTCCAAAATACAAAGCCTGAAATATGGTTATCACTAATGTTGAAGCAAGCATGAAAAATATGGTCATAGGTGACATCTGTACCTTTTATAGCTTAGCCAAATCTATGAGTTTTTAATACCATCTCAATGCATATGTCTCAATGCATATGACTCATGGAATACATAATAAATGCCCTCTCTCTTATTAATGCCAAAGACTTAATATTTTTATTACAAATTATTATCTGACTTATGAAGAGAACTGTAATTGTGGGTCAGCCTGAAACTTACAAAATCCAATTCTCAAAAAAAATCTTAAACTAAACAGTAGTAAGAGGCACCATCACTAGAATACAAGCCTTGCACCCCCAACCTCAGTCCACCGCAAGCGCCCTCGTCATCATGACAGAAGAGCTGCTGCTCGCTGAGCTCTCGCAGTGCGTCAGCACTGCCCATGGGCCCTGACGGGGACCATTTTAGTGTTCACAGCAGTTCTGAAGATGATATTGTCACTGTTCTATAGATGAGAAAGGTAAGGCTTAATGAAGTCATCTTATACAAGAACATAACCAATAAGCAGTGGGTAAAGAATGTGACCTCGAAGGATTCACACATTTGGAAAATGAATAGGTAAAGACTTAAAATTAGCTGAAAAGTTAAAATTATTAAAAAGCAGAAGGAGAGAAAACGCACCCATAAACCTCAGGATTACCTAGGGCCTTGAAGAGTTCTTCTCGCACAGCAGAGGTGAATTTTCTGACCAGACACAATGTGGTCACAATAGCAAAAAGCAAATTGTAGGATAACACAATATAGAAATTTCCCAGCCAATTAAACCTTCCAAAGTCTCCAAGTAGATCAAATCTAGTGATTCCTGTTAAAATAAATAAAATAACCCTTAATAAATCACGTACAATATATTTATACAAATATATATTTAACAAGAAAAAGTATAAATCAGATCAAATTCCATGGTTTTCCTCATTTCTGTTAGTGGGAATCCTAGGTTAACACACAGTCATGATCCTGTGGCCAACCCCAGTCAGCCTAAGCAACTGTCCGTGTGTCAGTCTCTGGCAGTGGTGAGCAACGAGGCTGAAACGGGTCATTCGCTCAGCATTTCCCTGCATCCACAAAAAAACCCGCTGTGCTGCTCCTTGTGAGGAAGCTGGGTGCGGCACGCTCCCCGAAACAGGAAAGGAGGGTGGTGATTGTAGAGACACCTGAGAAGCTCTCTCCAGCCCCAACCCTGGCCCCATCTCCCTGCAGGGCCCTGCTCACACGTCACCTCCTCCAAGCGGCCACCTGTCTCCTCTACCCTGAACAGCTGACCTGACAAGGTCCTCCACCCTGATAATGTTTCTTTAAGGCACACACGACCTGAAAGGTTTCTCTTCCTTTGTGGTTCATTTAGTGCCTACTCTCCCCAGAATATAAGAACAGAGACTCTGTTGTTTTTAGCCCTATGATCCCAGAACCCAGAGCAATGCCTTGCACATACTTAAAACTTACTACATTAAGAAATAAACAGAGTGGTTCCTTTCCAAGGGGAAGAAAACACACATTACATATGTGAATTGGATGCTACAGTCTTGCGGAGTGAATGGCCGAGGCTGGAATGCAGCGTAACTGTGTTGTATATGTTGGAAATGCAGTGCAGTTGCATTATATATGCATCACCACGTAAATTCACCTGTCATATGTAAAACAACAAGTCTTATTGAAAAAAAAAAAAGTCTGACTAGTCATTCTGTTCAATGAGTACGTGCCCTAGGCTCAATACTTCTTGGATCAGAGTATGCATGTGGAAGGATTTTTCTGACTATTGACAAGTAAATAAATAAGTAAAACAGCATTCAAATGGTCAGTCAAGTGAGAGATGATGTGACTACTGATATTCTTTAAGGAAGAAACTGGAGAGCTAATCATGGCCATATAAAATTTTAACCACTAAGGACTTGTATACCCCAAATCACGCACCTTTCATTTTAAGGGTGGCCTAAGAATTTCAAGAACAACTTTTACTAAACTCAAAGTCACCTCATCAGTTAACTTTCAAACTTAACTCTCATCCCCACTCAACACAATGCCATCACCTCCTATCTGGACAGACTCTATGAAAGCAGCTCATAGAGACTACAGAAAAATAGCAGGTGCCAAAAAGCAGGTCTTGTGTAACCACATGTATCCAGGGCCAATGTATCTGAATTTGAGAGACAATAATCTACAAAAGTAGTTTAAGGAAATACAAGATTAGTGGAAATGTACAATAACATACTTTTTCAATGACAGTAGAAGGGACCCAGACCCTAGTAGTATTTACAGCACAGGTCATACCACAAGGTCATGGCAACAATCCGGCAGCAGACTTACCAAGACTTTGTTAAAAGGAACATGTGTCTAATTATCACGTGCACCCCAGTGTTCATCACAGCATTACTTATAATAGCCAGGACATGGAAGCAACCTAGATGCCCATCAGCAGACGAATGGATAAGGAAGCTATGGTACATATACACCATGGAATATTACTCAGCCATTAAAAAGAATTCATTTGAATCAGTTCTAATGAGATGGGTGAAACTGGAGCCCATTATACAGAGTGAAGTAAGCCAGAAAGATAAAGACCAATACAGTATACTAACACATATATATGGAATTTACAAAGATGGTAAAGATAACCCTATATGCAAAACAGAAAAAGAGACACAGATGTACTGAAAGAATTTTGGACTCTGTGGGAGAAGGCGAGGGTGGGATGTTTTGCGAGAACAGCATCGAAACATGTATATCATCTAGGGTGAAACAGATCACCAGCCCAGGTTGGATGCATGAGACAAGTGCTCGTGCCTGGTGCACTGGAAAGACCCAGAGGAATCAGGTGGAGAGGGAGGTGGGAGGGGGGATCGGGATGGGGAATACATGTAAATCCATGGCTGATTCATGTCAATGTATGACAAAAACCACTACAATATTGTCAAGTAATTAGCCTCCAACTAATAAAAATAAATGAAAAAAAAAGGAACATGTGTCTAATTATATATATTATTTTTCAAATGAAGTACTACTTAATTTAACCTAGGAAGTTATCTGTAAACAAGATGCAGTCCTCCCAAAACACACTTCAGTGATTTCATGGCCCGGGGAATCCAGATAAGCATCTTTGATCTTTAAAGCCCAAGACTCCTGAGCATCTGGTAAGGGACACACACGTGCACATGCACACATACACACAACTGTGCGTATCATGAAGCTCATTTAAAGAGGAACTGACAGATCACAGGATAAAAACCCTTGCCCAGATGCTCTATAGAAGTCTGATCTGGTCTCACAAATTTTTGATCATACACTACCATTAGCAAAAATTAGAGTACATATACCCATTACATGTATATTTTATTTGTAAACTATATATGTACTACTCACTGACCTATATATTATTTTATACACAAAAGAAAGGCTTTAAAAATTATAGCAGTAAAAATAAATACAAGTTCTGATAGCTTCTCCACACAGCCCAATGGCTTACTTTGTGAATTTATGTGGAAACCAACTCCACTTTGGAAACCTCTGCTACATGCTAACTAGTAATTCGGCAACACCCAGAACTTGCTCTGCGTCATGCACCCCAAGAGAGGGAAGCCAGGGGCAGGAGTAGAATTCACACAGTGAGACTGGAAGGTACGCTATGAACAATGACAAGGTGCTTTCACTAGAACTTCTCAGTGGGCTCACCCTGGTATCTGGAGAGTCAGGGTCAAGACCCAGTGGGAAACACCAGGCAAAGAGCAACCCCTCTTGTTAGAGGCTCTGGTCACAGACAGCTCAGGTTGGCCTCAGCCAGAAACCCAGAAGCCTGGTGCGACTATGGATGCACTGAGGCTTCAGACAAAACATAGGAGCGAGTTCTAAAAGACCTTGTTGTTCCGAATTTAATGTTTTAGAAATCTAATATCAGCTAAGTACCACAAAGTTCTTCAATTCTGAAAATCTTCTAATAGACAAAAAGAAGTCTTAAATAAACACTTTTCTAAAATGTCTGAGAGGATTTTGTCACAGTAATAATTGTAAGATGTACTTTTTATTTCTTTTCCAGTTTTACTGAAATATAATTTACATATCACTGCATGTACAGAATGTTTTAATTCAAATACACCATGAAATGATTATTAAGATAAGATCAGTGAACATTCATCACCTCAAACAGACACATACTTTTAAAAGTTTCGAATTTTTTTCCATGCGATGAAAACTCTTAGGATTTACTCCCTTAACAACTTTCCTATATAACACACATTAAATAATTATATTTGTCACGTTGCACATTACGTCCCTAGGGTTCATCTCATAACTGGACATTTGTACCTGGTGATGACCTTCATCCAATTCCCCCACCTCTACCTCCTGTCTCTGGTAACCACAAATCCGATCTTTTTTCCTAAGAGTTTGTTTTTGAAGTATAATCAACCTAAAACACTATGTAAGTTCGTATGATGTGACACTGTGATTTGCTATTTCTATACATTTCAAAATGATCACCGTCTAGTTATTGATTATATTCCCCACACTGTACATTTGAGATTCTGTGAATTTTGCAAATCTCATCTCCTGCACCTATTTCTTTCTTCCACTCTCCACCCAGCCCTGGAAACCACCTGTCTGCTCTCTGTATCTGTAACTCTAATTGTGTTTTGCTGTTTGTTCATCTGTTTTCTAGAGTTCATATGTAAGTGAAATCACACAGTATTTGTCATTCTCTGTCTGACTTATTTTATCAAGCATAACACCCTCTAGGTCTACCCATGTTGTCACAAATGGCAATATGTTAATCCTTTACTCCTGAGTAATATTCCTCTGTGTGTGTGTGTGCATGTGTGTATACACACGTACCACATCTCTATCCATTCATCTATCCATGGGCACCTAGGCTGCTTCCGCATCTTGGCTACTGTAAATAATGCTGCAATCAACATAGGGGTACATATTTATCTTCTAATTAGGGATTTCATTTTCCTCAGAAAACTACTCAGGAGTAAGACGGTTGGATCACATGGTAGCTCTATTCTTAGTTTTTAGGGAACTTCCATACTGTTCTCCACAATGGCTGCACCAATCAACATTCCCATCAACAGAGCAGGAGGGTTCCTTTCTCTCCACACCCTCTCCAGCGTTTATATTTAGACTGTTTGATGATGGCCTTTCTGGCTAGTGTGAGGTGATGCCTCAGTGTAATTCTGATGTGCATTTCTCTAATAATTAATGATGCTGAGCATCTTTTTATGTGTTTTTTGGCCATCTGTATGTCTTCTTTGGAGAAATGTCTGTTTAAATCTGCCCAATTTTGGACTGGGATGTTTGGTTTCTCGGCATTGACCCATTGCATATTTTGAATATTAACTCCTTATTGGTTATATCATTTGCAAATATCTTTTCCATTCAGTAGGCAGCCTTTTCATTTTGTTGAATTTCCTTCATTGTGCAAAAGCTTATTAGTTTGATGTAGTCCCATGTGCTTATTTTTGCCTTTGTTCCCCTTGCCTGAGCAAACAGATCTCCCAAAAATATTGCTAAGACCAATGTTAGAGAGCATACTGCCTGTGTTTTCCTCTAGAAGTTTTATAACTTCAGGTGTGCTGTGTTTATTTCTGTGCATGATGTGAGAACATGGTTCAGTCTCTTCTGCATGTAGCTGTCTAGTTTTTCACACCACCATTTATTGAAGCAGCTTTCTTTTCCTCATTGTATATTCTTGCCTCCTCTGTCTTAGATTAATTGACCATAGGTGGATGGATTCATTTCTGGGCTTTCTATTCTGTTCCATTGATATATATGTTTGTTTTTGTGCCAGTACCATGCTGTTTCAATGGATGTAGT